CATTTGTTGCTCTCTCAGAGGACCAGGGTTTGATTCCCAGCACCCACATGGCAGCTCTCAACCATCTGTCCCAAGTTATCCAATTTCCTTTTCTGGCCTCTGAAAGTACCAGGCCTGTACATAGTGCAATACATACATATAGGCAAAATACCCATACAATAAAACAACAAAATAAGTAAATCTATTTTTTTAAAATAAAGTAACAATGCCTGAAAAGCAACAAAGTATTGGATGAACAGCTACTGCATGAAACCTTTCTTAATATATGATGCCTCACACCTTCACCTTTTAAAAGTGTGTGTGTGTGTGTGTGTGTGTGTGTGTGTGTATGTATGTATGTATGTATGTATGTATGTATGTATGTATCTTAGCTCTCTCCTTCAACCATATGTGTCCCAGGAATTAAACTCTGATCATCAGGCTTGGGAGCAAGTGCCTCTACCCACTGAACTATCTTGCCAGCCCAGTCTTCTTGCCTGGGATACATGGGACCCAATTTCAAGACATTCACACATGCAGGGGGTTGGGGAAGAAAGAGAACTATGAATGAACCAATGTTCATCCTGGGTCCCATGACCCCTGAGTCTCCTAGAGATACATATTCAATAGAATGTAGCTCAAGAATCTGCGTTTTCAAATGTTCCTGTGGTGCCATTAATGTAGGTGATCTTGGGTCTCCACGTGAAGACCCCTAGCTACGTGCATAGCCAGCCATTAGGAAATTTAAAGTCAGCCATATCAGTTATTTCTAAGTGCTGAAAAGACTTGCAATGGTTTCCTCTTACATTTATCTTCTGTTGTTTGCTTGGTTGTATTTTGGAATTTCGGGTGTTATATTGCATTGCTATTTTCTAGGATAAATTGTTTTAATGTTTAACATTAAATACCTAAATCATTAAATTTCACTCAATGAATTTTCACCAAATGGTCAAACCAATGTAATCAGCACCCAAATCAAGAAAAAACATCCTGGGGCTGCAGGGATGGCTCAGTTATTAAGAGTACCTGCTGCTCTTGCAGAGGACCTGAGTTCGATTCCCAGCACCCACATGGTGGCTCATGATTGCCTGTAATTCCAGCTCCAAGGGATCTGCTGCCCTTTTCTGGCTTCCGTGGGAGTTATATGAATATGGTGCAAACACATACACATAAAATGAAAAAATTTAAAAAATTTAAGAGCATCCTCAACATCCCAGAAACTTCCTGTGTTATTTCTTGATCTTTGAGCCCACATTTTGTCATTTCTGTTTCTATGTGTTTGATTAAGTACTTTAGTGACAGAATATAGCTATAAATTAATGTATTGTGGCAGATGTTTTTATTTTTAAATATTTATTTTATATTTATGAGTGTGCCTGAGTGTATGAATGTGCACTACATTCATGCAGGAGCCCAAGAAGGTCAGAAAATGTGTCAGATCTTCTAGAACTGGAGTTACAGTTGGTTATGAACTGCCAGGTGGATGCTGGGAATCAAACCCCAGTTCTCTACAAGAGGAGTGAGGGCTCTTAACCACTGAGCCCTGTCTCCTGTCCAGATGTTCTTTGTTGTTATTGTTTGAGACAGGGTTTATCTGTGTAACAGCCTTGGCTGACCTAGAACTTGCTTTGTAGACCAGGCTGGTCTCGAACTCACAGAGATCCACCTGCCTCTACCTCCCAAGTACTGGGGTTAAAGGTATGTGCCACCACCACCCAGTGCAAATGTTCATATTTTTAGTAGAAAAATTTATAGACGTTTTTGTCTTAGTTAGGATTTCTACTGCTGTAAAGAGACACCATGACCACAACAACTCTTATAAAGGAAAACATTTAATTGGGTGGCTTACAGTTTCAGAGGTTCAGTTCATTGTCATCATGGTGGAACATGGCAGCATGCAGGCAGGCATGGTGCTGGAGAAGGAGCTGAGAGTTCTATATCTTGATCTACAGGAAATAGGAAGTGAACTGTGTACCACACTGAGTGTAGCTTCAGCAAAGAAGACCTCAAAGCCCACCCCCAAAGTGACACACTTCCCCCAACAAAGCCACACCTACTCCAGCAACGCCATAACTCCTAATAATGCCACTCCCTTTGGGGGCCATTTTGTTTCAAACCACCACAGGAGTGTAAAAACAGACCCTGAAAATTGGGTGGAAGAGCTGGGTGTGGTGGTGCATGCTGGTAATCACAGGAGGTGGAGGCAGGAACATCAGGTTTAGGAACATGAGGACATTCTCACCTATGTAGTGAGTTCAAAGCCAATCTGGTCTGCATGAGACCCTGACTCAATAAAAAGGAAAGAAATTTGGCTGAAAGGAGCATGGTGGCATTTCAGTGCCCAGGTCTGTGGGCAGGTTCCTAGCCGTTGTCTTCATTCTCTAGATGGTATAGGCCATGAAAGGAGTGAGGAGATTGCTTCCAGAGTTGCCAGGTCTTATTCAAATTCTTTCAGGCTTTGGCCCTATCTGCTGAATGACCTTGGAAAAGTCCCACGACATCACTGAACTTCAGTCTCCAGACTTGAGACACAGGTTGGCACTCAACAAGTGTTGGTCACTGCTGCTACTTTTCTGTCTGCAGACTATCAGTGCCATGGGTGTCCTAACTTGATCTCAGGAACACAGAGAAGCCTGTGGGTCATGAGAGCCTCCTGGATTTCCTTTGATCTCAGAAATCTTGTGCCTAAGTGAAACAAGGGTAGCTCCCTGTAGCTGCTCTCCACATTCTCTCAAGACAGTGTTTGCAGAGCCAGCCAAGGCTGGAAACACTGTACCCATCACCTCACCCTGGCATCTACTCTCCAGCCTGGGAAAGCTGTACCTTGAGCTACAGAAAGAAATCCTATTTTCCTTGGTGTGTTTTACTTGTTTGTTTGGTTGTTGTCTTTTCAAGGTATGATTATTTATTTGTTACCCTTAACGACTTATTTTTGACTGGACTCAGCCTTAGAAGTAGCTCTCAAGGAGGACAACCTGCGTCCTCTTGGCAATCTGTTCCTGATGCTTTTCTTTGGCTTCCCAAATTCTCTCTAAAAGTTTAGCATATTCTGCAACCACCTCCTTGTTTTTCTTAGTACGTTGTATCTTCAGGGCCATACATCAGTGTTGGTGCTGCAGGACACATTGAGTAACAAGATGCTGAATCTTGGCCAATTTGGTCCTAGGCTTCTTTCTTACCTTCTTTGTTTAAGGGCACTCTGATAACGCATTGATGGACATCATCTTTAGAGATATTAAAAAGCTTTCAGATTCTGCTAGCTCTTTTAGGTTCTAACCAATGAGTCACAGTAGTGTCTGTCCATCCAGGAATATCCTTCTCTCCTTTCTTTTACAATAACCAAATTGAGAACACTCGGATTAGCATCCACAATGCATCCGCAAACAAACCTTCTCTTCCTCTCTCCGGTTCTCCTTGCTCTCTAACAAGAAGGCTCCTTACTAAACAGCAGGCACACTCTGCCATGGTCAAAATGCCTTGCCTCCTGGGAAAACCTTGTCTGTCATTCCCACCGCTGGTTCGGACTACATAACCCTTCCACTTCACCCAGATCATCAGCAGCTACTTCTGTTGCCACGTTCTTCTCACAGAACATACCAAGCTTGTGTCATTCACTTCCATGAGTTTCTGACAGCCAGTAGCAAGGAAGGAGATATTCAGCTTCATCTTGACATAGCCCACAGCTTAGGTAGTGCCATGAAAAAGACATTGTTGTTGTTTTAAATAATTTGTATTTCTTTAGCTAACAAGATATTGAAAGGGGTGTTTAGTGGGTAAGTGTGGTAGAAAATGGTACTCATAGGGAGTGGTACTATTAGGAGTAAGTGTAGCCTTGTAGGAGGAAGTATGTCACTGTGGGGGTGGACTTTGAGGTCTCCTATGCTCAAGCTATGTCCTGTGACACAGTTCACTTCCTGTTGCCTGTGAGTCAAGACATAAGAACTCTCAGCTCCTTCTCCAGCACCATGTCTCCCTTCATGACACCATGTCCTGCCATAATGATAATGGACTAAACCTGTGAACTGTAAGCCAGTCCCAATGAAACGTTTCCTTTGTAAGAGTTGCCATGGTCATGGTGTCTCTTCACAGCACTAGAAATCCTAAGACAGTAGGCTTGGGATAAAGGAGACAGGAATATAGGTTGCTTTTTAGTCCAAACCTCAGGAAACTTCCAGCCCACCTGTGGTCCAGCGTACCAGGGCAGCCTGGGTTTAGACTCTGTTTCTTCTCTCATTGCTATAACAAAATATCTCACAACAGCAGCTTAAGAAAGGGAGGGTTTATTTTGGCTCACAGTTTAAGGTTGTAGTCCATCATGGCAGGAAGACACAGCAGCCAGAGTAGGAGGCAGCAGGTCACATTGTATCTGGAGTCAGGAAGCAGAGAGAGATGAATTCTGGTGCTCAACTCACTTTTTCCTTTAAAAAAAATCTCATTGTAGTTATTTATTTATTATATGTGTATGTGTGAGTGTGTGTATACCACAGATATATTTGGAGAGAATGGAGCACAGTTTAGGAGAATTGGTTCTTTCCTTTTACCTTGTGAGTCACAGAGATTGAACTCAGGTCATCTGATTTAGCAGCAAACACCTTTACCCACTGAGCAATCTTATGGGCCCCTCTTCATTCAGTCCATATCCCAGCCCATGGGATGGTGCTGTCCACAGTGAGGGTGGATCTCCCCTCCTTAGTTAAATCTTTCTAGAAACATCCTCACAGTCATGCTGAAGGGTGGTCTCCTGTGTGATTCTAAATCTGGTTCCGTTGACGACAATGGTTAAGACCTAAAGCATTGACCTAAAATGATCCGTAGTTCTGTCCTCTGCTACTACCTCAGGGGACCCTGGGGAAGTGGGTGGGCATCCAGAGAAGAATGGGAGGCTTGGTCTCTGAGCTCCTGAGTGCACCACAGCTGGAGACAGTGAAATTGCTGTCAAGGACTCGATGGCCTCACTGGGGCCCTCCTGTGCCTCTGTCTTCTGTGCAGTCAAGTCATCTGTTGCAATTTTTCTGTTTCAGGAGGAGATGGGCATTTCCTGTGAGCTGCTGGAATCAGACTTCCTCAAGTGCAGCGTGGGATTTCCTTTCATGAGGTCAAAGTCGAAGGTGAGGCCCTTGGCGGAGACGGGGTACTTCCTAGGCCACTATTGCCAGCTCTTCCCATCAGTCATTTATTGCTATGCACAAACATATGTGCACACGCACACCACACACCCTGCCTCCCACGGTGGCTGAGTGGCTACCAGAGCCCTGGCATGTGTCTGTCACCAGTGCTCTGCTCCAGGGGATCTATGGTTACATGATCTGTCTCTTTGATCACATCATCCCCAATCAGGGAAAACACCACAGACCCCTTGGTACTTTGTTAATGTTCCTTCATTAAAAAAAAAAAAATTCTGGTATGTTCTGTACTATTTTGAGTCTACAACAGAACACAGGAGAATATGTGATATGAACTAGTGACCCACAGACCTAACTCTGTCATTCCCTTGGGTCCTAAATATTTTCTGGAGATCCCTCAAATTTTCCCCAAAAAAGTACCTGCATTCTGGTTCATATTTTGAAAAGTTGAAGGCATTGTGGTCAAGTTGGTATTTAGAAGGAGACAGATTTCTTAAGCTCAAATAGTAATACTATATAGCAAAGCAGACATTCATGGAACATTCTGTTGTGTGCCATGGTTAGGAAAAATGACCAGCCTGGTTTGTGGAAACAAAACTGCAATCTAAAGAGGCCGACCTTGAGTCCGTAGGTATTTTCTGTCAGGATGTTAAAGAAAACTCTGTGATTTAACTTCCCCCTCTCTTCCCCACACAGTCATAGAACTGTCTCTTGAGCTTCGTGGTCCCTGCACCTGCCATTGTTTTAGAATGGGATGGGCTTTCCTCCTGTCTTGGTGAAACACCTAAATCCATCAACTGCATTTGATGTACCATGTCTCATAGTCCACAGGCCAAGATGGGGCAGACAGAGGAAGACCAGGCACTATGGGTAGCTTTGCCCATGGTAAAGCATGTAGTTTGAATGCACACATGCACATACACACACACACACACACACACACACACACACACACACACACACACTCACACACATGCACATCACTTCATTTAAATGTTTTGAGTAACAGAAAATAGATTTCATTAAGAAACCCACACTCTTTCTTAAACATGCTACTCTGCTGTAAAAATCCAACTCATATCACAAATTAAACCCAAAATGTATCTAGTTATCTCTCGTAGTGGAATGTGGGTTTTACCAACACGTATTAACTCTGAAAATGTTGTAAAGTCAATAGAAATAATAACTATTGGAATATTGATCTCCTGTTTCTTCTGCACGGGTCATAAATATAAACAACCTTATTCTGCTTTATTTCTTGAAAATTCCACATGCAGATATTAGGACCGTTAGCAAGACTGAGCCCAGAGCTGAGGGTGTGGAGAGGAGAGGGTGTGGAGAGGAGGGTTAAAAACCCAGCAAGTTACCCGAGGCCTGAGCTTCCCTACCTGCGGCCCCTCACACTCACCTGTCCTCCAATCCTGGCGTCCTCGCGTGCCAGGACACCTGCTCGGCCTCGTGACTACACTTCAGGCTCACTTTCATTGGCAGTGTCTCTGCCACTCACTTCCAGCCTGACCAGTTTCATGCCTCAATGTCTGATTTTGACTTTCACCCAAACCACATGTCCTCACCTCATTTCAGTATTTAGTATGGTTGACTTAACTCAGATGTTCTGCCAAGTCTGACTCTCCTGGGACAGGGTCTTGATTGTCCCTTCTTTAGTGACCCCCTGCCCTGTCTTCATGCCTCATCCTCCTCATATACCAAGTCCCACTGCTGCAGAGATTTCTGCCTAGAAAGGGGATGCTTGTGTCCATCACAGGTAATGGTCCAAGTTAATGGTCCATGCCCATTGCTCTCAAGTAGCATTCAGTTTAACAGAATTCAGTGTCTCAAAAAAGCATGCAGTTGCCTAGAACTTACTTTAATGTAAACCAAATAATTGAGGTATGTTAAACAGTTCACAATCTGTCAGCATTTGCTGGAATTAAAGACCATCTTCTAGACATCACAACTGATGAGATATGTAAACTTGGCGAGCCTGGGGAGGTGATAGAGGTGAAGCCAGAAACTCTTGGTTTTGCAGTTCCCGTGTGCCACTTCCTCTGGAACTTGCTGTGGCTGAAGGGGGTGATGTGCCTCTCACTAGAGTGGGGGGAAGGGCGTGGTTCTGCTGTGGAAGCCTCCTTGCCTGAAAATCAGATACACGTAAAAAATAACACTTGCTGCAGTTTAGCTTCCAGAGGACATAAGCTGCAGACCATTCTAGAAAACTTAGTTCAAAATGAGAATTGCTCATGGTTACCAAAAGTGACTTCTTTCTTTTTCCCTAGTATGAGTTCAGTGTCATCTTTGATACAAGCCACCTGTCTGGGGAAGAGGCAATTCTCAGCTTCATCGTAACTGCTCAGAGGTAAAAAGGCCATAAACAGACTTTTTCAAAGATGAAGACATTATGGGATTGAGAAAGGACGTGCCTTGAGCACCCCTCAGATGCAGAGGGTACAGAAGTGGTTACTGGGTGATAAATCCCCATAGCCCTGGGAGGGATCTGACCTCTGCAAGGTGGTCATCAGGTTCTGCTTGCTGAATGTATTTGTTACTTCTCTCACTGCTGTGACCAAATGCCAATGAGAGGAAGCTCAGGGAGGCGAGGCTCGTGTTGGCTCATGGATAAAGGGATACAGTCCATCAGGCTGGGAACTCATGGGAGGAGGCTGCTCTGGGAGGCTGTTTGCTTACATCTCAGTGGCCCAGGGATCCCAGAGCTGGGACCAAAGGCAGATGTCTGCACACTGCTTTTTCTTTGAAATGTCCTGTATCTGAGCTTCCACAGGAAGATCTAACTTCCACTGAGTGCAACCCTCCCTCTGTTGGTCTTCCCCGGGAGTCCTCTCACAGACATGCCCGAAGGTGTGTCTCCTTTTTGACACATTTGAGGAGACTGCAAATCTACTCAAGCTTAGAGATCAAATCCAGTTAGGACTAACTGTCAGCCCTCGTCACCACTTCTGACTGAGCCTGGGAGACCTGAGGATCAGCTAGTCATAGGGAAGTCTACAACTGAGGAGACACAAGCTGCTGAGGTGATGGTCTAGTTCAAGGTCATATAATTATTTGGCCCATTCCTGCTTGGCCGTGTTTTCCAAATCGGACAGATGTTCTCTGTGGATTGTCAGGCCAGGCCATCTGTTTCTCAGGGATACACACTGAATCATTTCACAGAGTGGGGAAAGCCACCTGCAGCCTGAGGGCCTGGTGAAGCCAGCTGGCAGAGGCACCCAAGTAGTGTACCTAGAGAACAGGATTGTCCCAGAAGCCAGGGAGACAGACAGAGAAGGGTATAAGGGATGGTAACTTCTCTCCCTAGGAATGTGTGTGGCTGTGGGTGCCTGAGCTGGCCTTTGGGGGTTTAGGAGCCACCTCCTTGAGCCACAACCTACACATGCCTTGAAGCAACATCTAGGTATCAGATGGCTGGCAGCTCCAATGAAGGTCAGTAAGTAGGGACAGACCAACTGTGATGAGGTACAGGCAGGTGTGGTTGAACACCCCAAAAAAAATGTTCATTTAAATGTCTAGTTGTGTGACTAGAGAAATCGCTCAGAAGAGAGTATGTTAGTCTTGCTGAGGACTTGAGCTCAGTCCCCAGCACCCAGCTTAGTCAACTTACAACTGTCTATAGCTTAGGCTCCAATGGATCTGACACCCTCTTCTGGCTTCCCCAGACCTGCATTCATACACACACACACACACACACACACACACACACACACACACACACACACTTTGAAATAATTTTAAAACTCTAAGTTCCTAGTTGAAAATATGTTGCAAGAATCCTCTGTGTATCTTTTACCCAGATTCACCAAATGTTGGCATTCCTGATTCATGGATTTAACCTTTCTTTCTATGTAGATTGTTTTTCTTGACCATATGAAAACAAGTTGTAGAAACCATGCCCCTTGACCCATAAATGCTCCCTGTGCCTTCCCCAAGAACAAAGCCACACGTGACTGTCAAACTCAGGAGCGTCAGCATCGGCACATCTAATCCACAGTCGTGGTCCACTTACACCCTTGTCTCCGAGGTGTGTTTCCAGCCCTTTCCCACGGAGTCACAAGACTGAGCTATTTTCTCTTTGCCTTCTTTTCAAGTTCACATGACATCACTGTGATCTGCTAAGAATACAGGCAAAGAGCAGACAGGGCAGATTTCATTTCTGCAGCTAGAATTCGAGAGTGATTCTAAGGTGATGGTAGTGGGGGGGCATTTCCATCTGAAGCACAAAGCACATCCGTGAATGTCCACAGTGCACCCTGCTGTGCTGTGTCCGTGTGAACCATAGACTTGGGAGTGAATGATGTCCATGGTCGTCCCTAAAAGGAGGAGGGTGGGAACTCACAAGGTGATGACAGACAGAGCTGAAAGAGAATGGGTCTGAGTCACCGAAGACGGGAACAAGCCCAGAAAATCTGAACTACATCCTGACAACAGTGAAGAGTTGCGTCAGGCCTTTGAAGAGTTCAGTAGTGCCCAGTTTCACTTCTGTTGCTGTGGTAAAGTGCACAAACAGAAAGCAACTTAGGAAAGAAAGGGACCTATTTGTTTGACAGTTCCAGGTTACAGTTCACCGCAGCAGGGACGTCCATCAGCAGGCTTGAGGCAGTCAGTCCCATCCATCTGTAGTCAGCAGCAGAGAGGAATGAGTGCACACATGCTCACTAGTTGACTTGTTTTCAGCCAGATTTCTCCACTCTTACACAGTTCCAAACCTCCTGCCTAGGGAGTGTTGATGCCCACAGTGGACCAAGTCTTCACACACTAATTGAGACGACCCCCACAGACACATCCACAGGTCAACACAATGCAGACGATCCCTTATTGAGACTCTTCCTGGGTTGTCTCAAGTACAAAATGAAAGCTAACAGTCACACTGACACAAGGCAACAGCTCAGCACATCACACCATGGTGCTCTCTGTCTGTTCTTCCACACCCAGCACAGCCAGTGGTCATGAAAAGGAACAGGACATGGAAAGGATTTCCATGATACAGCCTGCCTCTAGCCTCACTCCCCTCCGGGAGGCCAGAGAGGGCAGGGGTCAGAAGCACAATGGAGAGAGCTTCCTCTCCTGTCTTCGAATGACATGTCCACTAGCTAGCAGTGTGCTGGGCTTGAAGGCACAGTGGAAACACCAGGGAAGCTTTGAAATCTGCTGACGCCTGATGCAGCCCCACCCATGCCTGGGATTTGGATCTAATTGGTCTGGGGTAAGAACTGGACACTGGAGTTTGGAGGAAGACTTGATGCTAATTAATGTTCAAGGTCCAGAGCCACTATCTGTATAGTCCTGAATGAGCATGTGTCCGCTCGGTAGACAACTGTTAGGTACCTGCTACTTACCAGTTACCGGGATAAATGTAGGTGACATTTTTAAATGCCCACTACCTACTAAAAAACCTCATATACATTAGTATAAGAATTTCCAGCTAATTCCTTGGGTCATAAATGTTAAAGAGATCACATAGCCGTTTAAACATACTGAACTGGTCCACAAACTTGCTTCTCTTGGAGATTTTGTGGAAATCTGGTCTACCCGCCCCAAATAGTTCTCCTAACAAATACTTGCCTCCCTGCTAAGACAGACAGATCCCTAAAGCTCCTTATCTCAAATGTGACAGTTAAAGTATCAGCCATTTCTCTCTTCCGTCACCAACCTTTGGAGGACTCTTGCCTACTTACAGCTTTCAGAGGGCATCAAACTGAGACTAAACAGTGTCTTGTGACCCCCTCATCTCTACCATCAGCAGCCTGGCCTGGCAACCCATGTGGAAAAGTCCCAGCACATGGAGATTGAGGAGTGGCAGAAAGCTGTTTGATGTTTGGTCTCTTTATCTCAGCTTTTCAACTTGGCTCATTCTGGAGCCGTTACTTGATGACAGATCAAACCATTATTGGGTGAGAGCTGCCAGCAGCCCCAGGTGGCCGGACAGATGACAGAGAAAGGGAGGGCTCTTCCATCAAGAGCCAATTACTCAGGCCTGTAAGGATGCTGGGTGTAGGGAGGGTATGGGGCTAGGATTGTACCAACTGCGTTGGCAAGGAAGTCACCTCTAGACTGGCCCTGGCAGTGATTCCAATGCTTAGATTGCTTCCTGGAAAAGGCAAGGCAAGGAATCTAGTCATGTGGGCACCTGATCATGCTGTCATGTGCTGTGGACACCCTGTGAGGGACTGATGTCATCCCATGTACGGAAGACAGATGTGGATCCAGGGGCAGTGACCGTGGCCCTGCATGGTCAGAGTCATGAGCACCGTTGTCTCAGAACAATAGGAGAGAGGGGGAGGGATGTGGGGCTATTTTAGTACCTGTTGCCGTTCAACACTTCTGGGTGGAAGAGGAAGGCGGGGTGGGGGCAGATGGGAAGGACGCAGAGCAGGTGAGGTTAGCAGATGTTTGGGAGCTAGGTAAGTCCTGCCCAAACCTCAGGGAGTCTCGGGACTCCCAGGTTCCGTTTGAGATCCCTTGTCTAGTCCATCTGACAGAGCCATTGATTCAGCAATCATACCCAGGCGCATGTGTCTTCCAAGGCAGCCACTTGCCCTGGCGTAAGCATCCTGGTCCTGAACGAGGTTTAATGAGCTAGTGAATCGAAGTGAGTGGAGCCCTGGCTTGGAGTGCCATTGAGCTGGCTAGCAGCTCAGCTCCCTCTGGCTGATGGCGGTGGGGCTGGAAGATGTCCAAGCATCTCCTGTAGGTCCAGAGTGGTGAGTCCTCTGACCCTGGGTTCATGGTGAGATGTCCACAAACCTCCTTCCTGGCAACCATGTCCTGACTTCGATGGTCATAGTTTGTGCTGCTTAGTGCTGTCAACTTGCCACCGTCACTGAGGAAGTCTCTCAATCGAGGGTTTCTCCTGATCGGATTAGCCTACAGACATGTCTTTGATTGTCGACTGATGTGGGAAGACCTAGATCATTGTGAGCACACCATTCCCTGGTCAGGGCATCCTGAATGAACTGTGTGAGACAGGAGAAAGCTATATGATAGCAAGCAATAACATGAGTGCATCCATTGCTCTGCTCTTGATTATGCGTGTGACATTTTAAGTCCCTACCTTGACTTCCCTCAGTGATGGAGTGTAACCTGAAAGTGTGACCCAGAGAAACCCTTTTCTCTCCCAAGCTATTTTTATCTGGGATATTTTATCTCAGCATTAGAAATATAACTAGCTGGGCAGTGGTGGCACACGCCTTTAATCCCAGCACTTGGGAGGCAGAGCCAGACAGATCTCTGTGAGTTCAAGGCCAGCCTGGTCTACAGAGTGAGATCCAGCACGGGCACTAAAGCTACACAGGGAAACCCTGTCTTGAAAAGAGAGAGAGAGAGAGAGAGAGAGAGATAGAGAGAGAGAGAGAGAGAGAGAGAGAGAGAGAGAGAGAGAGAGAGGAAGAAAGAAAGAAAGAAAGAAAGAAAGAAAGAAAGAAAGAAAGAAAGAAAGAAAGAAAGAAAGAAAGAAAGAAAGAAAGAAAGAAAGAAAGAAAGAAAGAGAAGGAAGGAAGGAAGGAAAGAAAGAATTGTAACTAAAGTACTGTTTATGAAGCAAATGCTTCAAGAGGCCCCACGTGTGACAGAGGTTCCACGGTAGCCCCTCACAGCACACTCATGAGGAAGAGTTAAATCTTGGCTTCTGCTATCCTGTTGGAGCTTTCTTTGGTGGGAGCCTACTCACCTGTGTGACAGGGAGATACCAGAGAATTTGTGTCCTCTCTCTATTCTACCATAGTAGTCCTCAGGGGTCTCTGTGCCTTCAGTTGGGGCATCCAAGATCCGTGTTCTGTCCTACTTCCCAAAGTCTCCCCAGCGAGCCTGAGTCCCGGCTGCCTCCACCATGCAGTTCCTGGGTAGCAAGCCTCCAGTGGCTTCTTCTCATTCCTGGTGTCTTTTTCTGTTACCTATTGGTGTTTCCTGGGGTTGCCTCCCATGTATACAGCTTGCCTGACATCTTTGTACATGCCTCTGTGCAGGGGTTCTCTACCACAAACAGACCGGGGACAGAAAAAGTGAGTCTAGAGGATGTGAGGCTCGATGTGTAGTGTGGGGCAGGCAGCCAGCTGCGAGCGGCTTGCACTGACCGCTGTCCCTTCCATCTCCCCTCCCCACACAGTGGAAACATGGAGCGCTCCGAAGCCCTGCATGACAACACGCTCACACTGGAGGTGCCGCTGATGCACGAAGTGGACACGTCCATCACTGGGTAAGTGTCAGAACCCAGGGTGCCCTGCAATGGGAGGTTATGCTGCTCCCAGTTCCCATGTGTCATAGCCAAGAACAGGTAGCCCTGCCACCTCCCTGCCTGCCAGCCTTGGAAAGCAGGGATAAAACTTACCTTTGGTGACCCATACTGACCTCTCATCTGCTTTTTTTTGGTCAATCTCAGCTACCTAGACATATAACTGGTACACGGGAAGTGAGATGAGAAGTTTAGACCCCACAATTTCTCCGAACATTCTGTGTGTCCTTATATGCACCCATTCCTAGTACACCCATACCTAACACACACAATCACTCCAGAATGCTGTATAGTGGCAGGCACTGTGGTTATTAGACAGGTCATCTTCAAACCCTTCAGAGATCTACAGAATATGGCATTTAAAATGTTTTAATAACTTAGAAAATTTTTCTTTTTTGTTATGATTATGAGACATGTCGGCTCCTGGCAGTACCAATCTACTTCAGAGAAAATATGGGCATTGAAGAAACTGCATATGGAGTTAACTTTCATTGTGGCAAAAGTTAGCCACTGGACAACAAAGTATCCTTGAATCAACTGCTGACAAAATGGACAGACAGGACATGAAACAAAGGACTACTGATTCTTGCCAAAACGAGTGTGGTTATGGCTTTATCAAAAGGCATCTTCTGAGGCCAGGACAATATGGCACCATCCCTGAAGTGGCCTTCGCAATTTGGAAAAGGTACAGTGCCCTTTTCTTCGAAGGCAGCTGAATAGGCAGTGGGCCGATGGCTTCTGATGTGCAATGGAACAGCAGCGGAAACAGTTATTCTTGAAGAGTAACTAAGCTCACGCCTCGCAATAGTAAACTGGCATTTGACAGAGGGATGTGGAGAAGAACGGGATGTTAAGATGAAGCCATATATACACAGCCAAGAATGGACAGCTGAATTAAAAAATCAACAACAATTTCCAGAATTTAAAATCCTGAGTCATGACATGACACTAGTGGAATTCAGGTGTTTCTGGTACATGGACTGCTCTCACCTAATGTGAGGTTGAACTGTCGACCTTGTGTACATCCTACCTCACAAATGAGTCTGTCAGATATGCTAAGCCTATAGGCTGAAGATGATGCCCCAACACTGTGGAGAAACCTCAGGTGACTGTCCAGGCAGCTGGCTGTTTCTGTCAACTCACAAATTTTTTGGAAGTTGCTTGCATGCACTTTCTGTTTTTATTTTTGTTAGCTAATATTATTTCCTTCTTGGGTCTCTGAGGGAGTTGAAGATTAGTTAGTTATAGTTGAAGGTTAGTTAGTTATAGTTGAAGATTAATTAGGATAGAAAGTGAATTAGATACATTTTGGACTTAACAAAATAGGATAGATAATGAAATTATTTTCTCTGAATTTGTCAAATACAAATGGACTAGACATTGTTTAGACATTTATTACTTGTATATATTGTATATAGTCATTGTACTTTTGTATATAATTTTTCTTTTGTTAGTTATAACCTTTTTCTTTTTTTTCCTTTTTATTAAAATAGAAAAGGGGAAAAAAAAATAAATACATTTTAAGATTGAAAAAAAAAAAAAAAAAAAAAAATAAAGTATCAGCCAAAAGCTGCCAGGCCAGAGGTTGCATTCGGTGTTCCTCAAACCCCAGCTCGCAGGAAGGCTGCCCTTCTGATCAGCTCCATAGTCAGTTCTGGCTTTGCGTATTTCTGTTACCTCCTTGAGCACAGCACGAAACAGCTCTGCCTCACATCTGTGATGGTCTGGAATGGACAGGGAGCTATCGCAACAGCAATACCAACCTGTCCAGGTGAAGTCCACAGCCATTCAGTGCCGCTGGCTTTGCTGGAAAGCAGGGCTCTTGGCTGTGGTCTACAGGGACATGAAGCGACCTGACGCAGCTTTCAGCCAGAGCTCAAGCTTAGAAAAATGAGAACTCGGTTCCTGTCTCCAGCTTCAGCAAACAGATTACATACTTCTCTAATAGCAGAGAGGCAAGGCTGGGGAGGGACACATAATTGGTTTAGATCAAACGGGAACTCAATGAATCCTTAGCCCAAATGCAAGCTGAACTTTCTCAAAGTTCAGGTTCTCATGTCTCAGTTTTCAGAGCTTCTGGATCTAAGCCTTGGCCCAGAAGGAAGATGCTGTTCCATAGAGGGAAGGGCCATCCCCGCAGTAGCTGGACTCTGCTGGGAGCCAGCGGAAAGAGCAGTCCTGCATTCCTGTTTGGCGTTTCATAGCATGGTTCTTAGGCACGAGGCTTTGGTGTATTTGCAAAACGGCATGTGTTGCCTGTGTTCACAGCTCTGTTGTTAACCATATGGTTTATTTATCCATTCTGTCTAAAGGACAGGACAAAATGCCCAGAACCAGGCCTTGTCCTTGGGGATGAAGTAAAAATACCTCCCCACCACACACTGGATCATGTTGTCAAGGCCTTAGGAGACCTGGCTATGAGATATTAACAGTCCCCCATGAAACCATCAGTTAAACAAATGAGTCAACCTCTGATCTTTCCAGGGATGGGGAGTGGGGTGAGTTTAAATGAACCAGTTCTTGCCATCTGGCAGGGGTTGGAACTCACAGTGTTACTAGCATAAAGTATTTATGACGAGAATAGAAGGTGGCTGTCCTCTTGGACTCGGTCCCACGGGGTCTCACACTGTTGTATTGGGAGGCTTTGAACACCTAGAATCAATCCACTGTTAGGGGCATCTGACCCCTGTTGTGTGGGACTGTCAGCTCTAGTCATGTGCGCAATGTGAAAAGTATTGTTACCAACTGAAGTCATCTCTTAGAAGACCACCATCTAAAACCCCAGGAGATCATGCCACCATTGAGTTTATTCTCCTTTGAAATACCTATTTCTTTTTAATGTCTTAGTACATTTATTATCTGTGTGTGTATACAGGCATGTGTGCGAATGCACAGGTACCGTGGCGCATGTGGAGGTCAGAGGACAACTCAGGGCAGTCCAGGTCTCTCCCTCCACCATGCGGGTTCCAGGGACTGAATTCAGGTCATCAGGCTTCGTGGCAAGCACCTTTACCCCCTCAGCCATCTGGCAAGCAAGCCCCCAAAATATCTCATTTCTAATAAGCATGGAAGTCTGATAGATATAAATGGTGTTTAAAAATGAAATTGTTATAGTCTTGGTTGCCAAGTACCTAATTTATTTGCATTTATTTCTCACAAGCTTGTTATCAGTGTTCTCCACAGAAATTCCTTTCAAATGACAAACAAAATGTGTGATCTTATAATCAAGGTTTTGTGGTGGTTTTGGTTTTGTTTCTGTAACTTTTGATTTTTAAAACCTTGTTTTAGGAACATAGTTAGGAGGATGCCTGGGGAAATGGCTCATTCAGTAAAGTGCTTGCAGAATAAAAGCATGAGGATCTGAGTTCAGATCCCCAGCACCCATGTCAGAAGCCAGGGGTAGCCATGAGCATCCATAAGCCCAGAACAGGCAGATCACGGGGGCTCTCGTTCAGTGAGAGTCTCTGTCTCAGAAAATAAGATGGAGAGAGAAGGAGGACCCCTGATGTTGACCTCTATACCTGTGTTCACATCGTGAACACACAGAAACATATACACAAAGAAATGTAGTCTCAGTATATAACGTTTGTGGAGCTTATTAGTGTGGCCTAAGGCTAGAAGACATGCTAGAATATCCGTTAGGAAGCCATGGGCCAGCTGTGTCTACTTGCAGGAGAGAGAAGTGACCACCCAGCAAGGAAGAAAATGGGTGGGAGACGCGGGTAAGAGAGGTGATATTTGAGCTCCCAGCCCGGCGGGGACCAGGGGCCTGACCTCAGGTAGAATGACAGAGGTTGTGCTTTCCTCTTTCAGAATTGTGTCCCCAACCTCCTTCGTGTATGGCGAGTCTGTGGATGCATCCAACTTCATTCAGCTGGATGACCAGGCGTGCCATTTCCAACCCCTCAACATCACTCTCCAGGTACCCACCCCACGACGTGTCCCTGACGGAAGGGCCGACTCTCATCTTTTTTTTCCAGAGGGAACTGTTCCGGTCTTTTTCTGGTATGGGGTATTGGAGGGACAGAGATATGGAGAGAGAAAGGGAGGGAGAGAGAGAGAGAGAGAGGGAGAGGGAGAGGGAGAGGGAGGGAACGATAAACCTGCAGGCCTCTGTGCTTTTCCAGATTTAGAATGGCCACACCAAAGAGCAGGTTCTCAACCTTCCCGATGCTGCAACACTTTAATACAGTTCCTCATGCTGTGGAGACCCCCAACCATGAAGTTATTGTGTTGCTACGTCATCACTGTAATTTGGCTACTGTTATGAATCATAACGTGCATCCTGATATGCAGGGTATCTGATGTGTGACTCCTGTGGTGGTTGCAGCCCTCAGGTTGAGAACCACTGCCAGAGAACAAGAGTTTTGTCAAGAAGGCTTGTATTTGCCATAATCCCCCACCTTAAGGGCTTTCGGAGAGCATCCAGGACTTTCATGGTGACTTGGTTGAAGTCTTCTCCCTGTGGGGAGCAGCCTTTAGAAGTTCAGTTTTCTGAGAGCAAAACCCTGTGAGCCCACGCACCTTAGAAAGTGCACTGGCCGCTCACTGGGCCCGGACTGACCAAGCATAAGCTCCACAGGTCTACTGGCTGTATGGTCTGTAGCCATCAGAAGACTGTTGGTCCTTCTCTTGGAGGTTGCCGACTTTTTCTGAAAGAGCCAGAAAGTAACGATTGGAGGCTTTGTGGGCCACACAGCCTTGGTGGCACCTGTCGAGCTGTGGGCTGTAGCTAGCAGGTAGTCACGAGGACTGATGTTGACACTTCAGCTATGCACCAAGGTTTACTTTGCATGTATCTTTTATGTACCATGGAATGTTACCCTGATTTTTCTCCCAGAAATTTAATGATGAAACTGTTCTTAGATGCACACTGTACAAGAGTAAGCACTGGGCCAGATTTGGTCTGTTAGGCCTAGTTTGCTGGTCTTTGTTTTGAGCATATGTATTCTAACGGTATGAGAGTATGTGGATGTGACTCCAGAGGAACCTCCGCATTGGCTAGTCTGTGTCCTTTAAGGGGCAAGTGCAGGGAAAATTGGCCCCTGGGAGAAAGGATGTGCAGTGTGGTCCCAGAACTAGGTGAGGCAAGCCTGGGCAAGGACTGGCCAGGGCATTAACTGGAAAAGGCAAAAAGAAATGACCCCTCTTGTTGAGTGAAGACCACATCCCACAGTCCTGGCTTCTGCCTCCTGATGCTTCCCCTGCCCTCCCGTCTTCCTGCATGGAGAGGATGGTCTCCCTAGGTGAGAGTCACTACTGGGGCTAAATTACAATGATTTTCCTCGTCTGTGGTTCCTCCTAAGTGGACATAAGGGGTAACAAATAATGATGTGGTGAGGGCCCAGAGGAGGAAGCTAAAGTAGTCTGGGGCTCATGGACAACAATCTTCCTCCACCCAGAGTGTCCTCTGGGCCGGGAGGACCCTGAAACCGAGATGGATAACACATGTTTCCAGCTTAGAGAGGATGCGTCCTCGACTAGCTAAGCCCAGCTGTCACCCGACCCTTGATTTACGGAGGAGACCAGGAAAGAGATTCAGGGTTTACTGTGGGGACTGTAGAGCGGCAGCTGTGGTCACGCCTCCGGGTTTCAAAAGCACCACTCAGAGACCGTTTTTCTTTCCCTCTGCGTCTCTCAGTTAGATAGGAAGCAAACACCAGGTAGATTTACTTTATGTTTGTGATTTACATCCTTTCTTCTCTTGAAATACAAGATGCAGACAAGAGAATTATTTAGAAAGATTCAAATGACCCAGACAGTGTCATAAAAAAAAAAAACCTGAGGATTGAAAAAGGCAAGAGGAATGCTAGCTACAGAAAATACCAGATTTGTAGTAGATACTGAATATTAGTGCCTGTTTAGAGGACAGAAGAACAGGATTGATGGATGGGTGGGTGGATGGATGGATGATAGATGGGTAGAAGGATGGATGATGGGTGGATGGATGGGTAGGTGGATAGATTCTGGGAGCATGCAGCTTATTCTTCCAGTTGACTCTCTAAAGGTGCTTTTTTCTTTTTTTTTTTTTTTTTTTTTTTTTTTTTTGGTTTTTCGAGACAGGGTTTCTCTGTGTAGCTTTGCGCCTTTCCTGGATCTCACTCTGTAGACCAGGCTGGCCTCGAACTCACAGAGATCCGCCTGCCTCTGCCTCCCGAGTGCTGGGATTAAAGGCGTGCACCACCACCGAAGGGAGCTTAAAGTTCTGTGTCTAGGAACATAGCTTATTTCACATGCGACCTAAAGCAAAGAACCCCGTTGAAGACTGTGGCCCTGGGGAGTGAGTGATTGGCATGGTTCTTAGATAAAGCATTGGTGAACTGTAAGCTGGGGCCTGAGGAAGCTTCAACTGTCAGTCCAAGTGCAAGGTAGTGGGCTGGGCCTGAGAGTGGTCAGTGAGCTGCAGATTGGAAAGGAGACCTTCCCACGGAGCAAAGCCTTCCTGGAACCTTATCTACTGACTCATTTTTCTGGTACAACCATTGTTATCACAGTTGTGTGCCGGAAGGTCACTCAGATCAGCAGTGATAATGACCAAAAGTAGGGGCTGATGTGGAGAGAGGGAAGGAATATGGAGAAATCTTAAGCGTTTCCATATTCCAGCAGTATCACTCCTGAAGCAGAAACAACACTGGCCCAAGGAGGGGTCTTTCTGTGTCTTTCATTAGTAGGTCAGTCATTCATCGAGATACACAGGAGCTAAAAGACGCCACTGCAGATAGAGCTGGGAGAAAGCAGAAATTCTGTCTGGGTGCATTTCTGTGCTTTGTGCGTAGTTTTTCCGACAGAGACACAGAAGTTCGTTGACCGTTAGTAGTGATTGGTTTGTGGTCTGGTTTGGCTTCATTTGGTTTGACTCTCTCATCAGGAGTAGTCAAAATGTTTCCCTCACCTGAAGACTTGTGAGGAAATATATTGCAGGTGTCATGCACAAGGCTTCACACAAACATGGGTGTTAAGATGCTGGCACACCAAGCTGCTGTTGCTTTAGTTCATTGGGTTTTTCACACAGAACCTTACTGTGGAGCCCTGTCTCGCCTGGAGCTCACAAAGATCCACCTGCCTCTGCCCCGTGAATGCTGGGGTTAAAGGATTTGCCACACCTGGCTGCTTTATTGTTTTTTGAGACCAGGTCTCACTATGTGACCCAAGTTAGCCTAGAACTGGTAACTCTCCTGCCTCTGCCTCCTAAGTTCTGGGAAGTCTGGTAATACAAGCTGCCTCTGACAAGGCGTGTGAGAAGAACGTCTTATCCCTTACGCTCACCCTCCACACTTTCAGTGGGATTCCCGGGCAATGGCAGGAGGGGTCTCTGCAATTCTGAGCTCTTGAGTTTTCCTTGAAAAGAATTGTTTCAGTTGTGGCTGGATACTCTTTCTTTTCCTTGTGTTGGAAGGCCGTTGTTGTAAATACTGTTCTTTGGGAATCAAAAGTTGACAACAATCTCTCATCCAGTCTTATCTTTTGTGTGTGTGTGTGTGGTTTTTCAAGACAAGGTTTCTCTGTATCTTTGGAGCCTTTCCTGGAACTCAACTCTGTAGCCCAGGCTGGCCTCGAACTCACAGAGATCCACCTGCCTCTACCTCCCGAGTGCTGGAATTAAAGGCATGCGCCACCACAGGCCGGCATTATCTTTTTTTTTTTTTTTAAGATTTATTTATTTATGTATACAGTGTTCGATCTGCATTCACGCACGCCAGAAGAGGGCACCAGATATCATTACAGATGGTTGTGAGCCACCATGTGGTTGCTGGGAATTGAACTCAGGACATCTGGAAGAACAGGCAGTGCTCTTAACCTCTGAGCCATCTCTCCAGCCCCAAACAGCTATTTGTAATTTTTTTTTTTTGGGTTTTTCGAGACAGGGTTTCTCTGTAGCTTTGTGCCTTTCCTGGAACTCGCTTTGGAGACCAGACTGGCCTCGAACTCACAGAGATCCGCCTGCCTCTGCCTCCCGAGTGCTGGGATTAAGGGTGTGCGCCACCACCGCCCGGCTTTTTTTTTTTTTAATCTGTTCACTGAAGCAACACTACCTACTGTGACAAAGAACCTGAGACCGGACTGTCTAGGGAAAGCTAGAGCCCACTCCTTCAGTGTGGGGATGCACAGGCTGTGGTGGTGGTGTTTGTTACTGCCTCTGCCTCTCTAGCCTCAGCGTCAGAGATATGCTGAATCCCTGGAGTTTGTTTCTCATCCCAGGCTGCCAGGCTGCCAGGCTGCCAGGCTGCCAGGCAGGGTTTCATTCCTTTGTCTCTCGCCCAGCCATCTCATTCTCATTTTTTTTAATTGACAAATTAAAATTGCAGCTTAACATGGTAGTACATGCCTGCAGTCCTAGCCTGTGGGAGGCAGAGGCAGAAGGATCATGAATTCAAGGACTGCTTGACCCACATACTGAGTTCCAAGGCAGACTGAGCTTTCATAGAGAGAGACCCTTTCTCAAAACAAAACTAAAGAAAACAAATCTGTAAGCTTCATTCATCTTTTTTTATTTTAGAAAGTCTTTACAGACACACCTCTTAAACTTTGTCTGTTTAAAGCATGCAGTTCAATGACTTTTAGAGTGTTGCAGAATTTTGTTTCCTCACAAACTAAATTTAGAATATTTCCATCAGCTAAAAAAAATCCACCGCTCTCAGTCACTGGCTACACAGACATACCTTGAAAATAACTGCAGGTTTGGCTCCAGACCCCTGCAATCAAGCAAATAACCCAGCAAAGCAAGTTGTACAATTTTTTAATATAAAACCTATATTTATACTATATTGTGGGACACTGAATGTCCAGAAACACAGCAAACACATCTTAAGTGTACTTTATTGGTGAAAACACCAGTGGTCATCTGAGCCTCAGTAAGTTTTAATATTGTTGCTGGGGAAGGTGCTGCCCCAGTGAGGATGGATGCCGACTGAACCTGCTGTTAGTTGTGAACATTGGGCTATCATTGGTTGAAATTTCTGAAATTAAGATAACAGGGACATCTGCTGCATCAGCTGACTCTTGCCCTCATGAAAAGTTCTTGATAGAATAGGATGCTGCTTGATGTTGTACCTACAGTAGAAATATTTGTGAAATTGGAGTAGGTCTTCAGGTACCTGCCAGCACCTTGTCAACTAAATTCACGACATGTTCCTAATCCTCCATGGTCATTTCAGCAGCTTCACAGTGTCTTTGCCAAGAGTACATCCCATCTCAAGAAATCAATTTCTTTAACGTACGAGACAACTCCCCATCCATTAAAGTTTTGTTATAAGATGACTGAACTTGTTCATATCTTCAGGACCCACCTCTAGACTGTCCCTTCAGTCCCCTCACATCCATAGTGACTCCCCTGAAGTCTCAGAATCCTCAAAGTCATCCATAAGAATTGGCATCAACTCCATCCAAACACCCATCACACTGATACCTGACTCACCACCATTGATCATGAATGTTTTCAATTACGAACTCTTTCCTAGTTTTCAGTGTATGTTCCCTGGACTTGTGATGATTAGTTTAATTATTAACTAGACACAGTCTTAGAATAACCTGGGAACTGAGTCTCAGTGAGTGATTGTCTATAGTAGGTTGGCCATTGAACATGTCTGTGGGAGATTATCTTCATTTTGTTAAGTAATGTGGGAAGACCTGCCCACTGTGGGTGACACCATTCCCTAGGCAGAGGATCCTTGATTGTGTGAGAGTAGAGAAAAGGAGCTGAGTACCAGTTTGCACACATTTGTTCACTGGCCTTTGGTCATGCCTATAGATGTGGTAATGACTAGCTGCTTCCAAGTCCCTGCCCCTTTACTTTTCTGAGATGGTGTGCTCTAACTTAAAATCATAAACTAAAATAACCCCCCTCCCTTAATTTGTTTCTATAAGGCTAATTTATCACAACAATGAGGACAGGAAGGAAGGCTCACCAAAGGAATCAGTCTAGAGCAGCTACACCCTTATGGAATATAATCCTGAAGCAATATGACTTGAATGTCAAAATCAGTCCTCCATCCATGGAGGTGAAGACTGAGCGCTGTTAACAAGCATGAAAACGTCAGTCTCCCGATACATCTCGAAAGTACATGTCTGTTCACAGCCTGTTTGCATAGTTATTCATGTGTTCACTGCAGTAGCACTTTTAATTTCCTTAGGGAACGTTTCCTCTGCATTCACAGTTTTATTGAATGGTGTAAGAGACCTTCCCATCAGAGCTCTTGGGTATGTTGTCTGTTATGATAATCTTATGGAGGGATCTTCTCTTGAGCAACAGATCATAACAGTGGGTTAAAACATTCAATAAACATGTCAGAAGAAACTTTGCAGTCCAGTCTTTGTTACTCTGTTACAGCGTGTAGGTTCCAGCCCCACTTGTGATTGTTACAATGTGCTCACCTGAGTAATAAAATATCTGTCTCACCCAAGTAACCATTACTCTATGTTCTGTTCTTATAAATGTACCCATTTTCTGAGTTCCTCCTTGTCCTCTATTGCTGCTAGGGGTTAATTTACATTCTTTCCTTCATCACTTCACCCTCCTTGGTCTCTGTGGCTTCTTCCTGTCCCCTCCTTGCTTGGCTTTGTGGTGAAAATGAGGAGGAGAGAGAAGAGAAGGGGGTCAAGCTTGACAAGATCAGACACTGAGCTCAAGAAGAGATACACAGATGTCATCACACTGTCAGCCCAGTGACCTGGATAGCACGTGCAACAGCCCTTTGTAGGAGTCAGATCACTTCATGTAGGGACAGCCCCGTGGTCACTGAAGGTCATCATTATCTCAAACTGAAAAAAAAAAAAGCGTTTGGACCAGGCCACTGGACCTAAGAGATGTTCCTGGGTACAGTGTCTCCTGGGAAATGTAGGTGTACTACCCCCACTCAGACCAACTGCATCAGAAACTGGGTGCGGCTCTCCCCACACCAGCCATCTGTGTTTGAGCAAGCCCCATAGCTCATTCTGATGTTATTCTAGAGTGTGAGAACCCCTGAACTTTTTTTTATATCTGCATTCCCACCAACTATCATCTGTGAATAGATTTCTAGGTTTGTAAAAATCAAATACGATTTTTAGTAAGAAGAGGGCAAGAAAATGTTCAATTTTGTTAGAATTCCCCCATTATTTAGTATTCCATTTTAATTAAAGTCAGATCCAAATGATGTAGTTCTATTTCAATTGAAAGCATATCTTAAAAAAATAAAATTAAGTCACATCCTAGATCTGAGCCCTAGAGCTTCTGTGTCTGTTTCAGAGACCCTTTGGGCACAAGATGCATGCCATGACACAAGGGATGATTGTCTTACTGACACTTGCTGTGTTCTCCAACCCACAGGTCTACAACACGGGCCCGAGCACCCTCCCTGGGGCATCTGTCAGCATCTCCTTCCCCAGTCGGCTGTCACCTGGTGGTGCAGAGATGTTTCAGGTCCAGGAGATGGTGGTGAGTCCTCCATTTGTTTCCTATATTGCTTTCAGCTTTGAGCTGCCTGTTTGAAATATGTGTTCCACACTCTGGCATCTACTCACAAGACTCAGGAAATCAGACTTCACACTTTGGAGATACAGCAGAGGAAGCTCGAAGAAAGACATGAATTTCTTCTATGTTGATGTCATAAAACCTTGGAAGGGCTGAGGAGGGGACAGCTATAAATTCATCCTCCAGGGTGACTTCCAGTAGCTCTGGGAACTCCCAAAGCCTATCTGCAGTCTCATATGTGTGAAAGCCTTTCTCTGAGAAGAGCCTCAGCATTTGTAAAGATTCTCAAAGGCGCACTGGCACCCAGGGATCACAGATCAGTGGGTAAGATAAGTGCATGATGGGGCTGCAGCTCAAGGTCCTGTGCAGACTGGGAGGCCAGCTGATCCTGTATCACCTACCTGTAGCCGACTTTGTCTCAAGGGACGCTTGATAAGCCGTGTGTGGTCATTGCTGCCCGCCTGCCTAAAACACACTCCTTGACTCCAAGGCTTTTCACCCAGCTTCCTCTTCCCACTGGCTTTCATCTCACCTCCCCAGCTTCAAGGGCTCAGCCTCCTTTATTCTACTCTCCTAACCTGGGTCTAAGCCAGACTCATGGACCGAAGTCTAGCCTATGCTGATGACACCACCAATTTCTGTCCAGCCCAGATCCCTTCCAGGAATTACAGGCTTACCAACCACCTACCTCAGTGCCTAACAGACGTCTCGGTGTGTATTTCACTGGTCTCTGTTCCTCCTCTTATTAGATACCAGCATTCAATCACAGACCCTACATCCTGGTCTCTTAACCCAGTCAGCCACCGAAGGCCTCACCTTTGAGCACCATAGTCACATTAAACACAGGAGATTAAACGCCAGTGTATGTTTTGGAGAAAGCAAACCACATTCACACCACAGCATCTTTCAGGCCTCTATCTCGGCAAGCAGTCACTCTGTCCTTTAGAGCCCAGGTCAAAAGCCTTGGATTAGCCTAAATTCCTTTTCTCATATACATCCAGCACATAAGCAAACCTAACCTGTGCTCCTTCCTAAAAATCCCAGTGTTGTACCTTAGCTTCCAAAGCCCTGGTCTAAATACTCGGGTTGTGTATGGCCCCCTCACTGGTGCCCCTGGCTTTGCTCTGGTCTCCGTCAGTCCATCCAGCATATGTGCCGGATGTGTTGGGTACTGACACTCCTCTGTGTGAAACCCCCCCTGGCCTTCTTTTCCCGTAGCCTCTTCCGGCAGCTCTGCTGTCCCCCATGCTCTGTCGCCTGTCACTTGTCCCCACCCCCCTGGTCCAGCCTCCTTGCTGGTTGCAGGGGATCTCCCCGCTCCAGAATTCAGCCTTCATCTTCCATCCACTGGGGTGCTCTTCCCCCAGATAGCCACACGGCCTCCTCCTCCAGGGACTTCACATGTCACCTTGTCATTGAGACCCTCCTTCAGCCTCTGTCTTGACGCTCCTCATCCCTCTTCCCTACTCACATTCTGCCCTGTCACCAAGCTGGCGTCTGTTTTCTTATTAGGCCACTTAAGCTGTCTCACGTCTGTTCCCTATAACACAGGATGGGGATTTCTGTTTGAATGTGTATCACACAGTCTATCTCTCTGGGACCTAGTGCAGTGCTCAGACTATATTATAGATGTTCAGAAAATACATGTGGACCGTGAAAACAATTCCACATGCTAAAGCAGTCACTAACTCTAAAAGTGAACTCTTTGGTCGGGGAAGTACTGAAAACAGTCTCAACAGGACCCCTTTGTCCAGTGACTTGACTTCTGATTGTTTAAGAGATGGTTTCATCTCCCGAGAGATGGACCATGAGGCAAGCACCTCTCTCAGACTCCCTGGAAAGGATGGAGGCACAGAACTCAGGGAACACCACACAGGAGAACACATGCAGGCTGACTGAGAGGGTCATGAAAGCATGGGAGGGGCAGGCAGCCAGCCCGAGAGATGGTCTCCCCATACATGGTTCATAAGGCAGGGCAGCAAGCCCATGGCCTGTGACACATTGAAGCCTGGAGTTGAAAGGACACTGCCCACAGGGCGGAGGTCTGGGAAGCGTTGTGCGATGTAGTCATGGGTTCTGGCACTGGTGTCCTCCTGGGTCACGTGGACCCAAGACTAAAACCATGTGAGTGTTAAGTGTAGAGCAAGCCCTGGTCCCCGAGTTGCCTACTGAGTTCCTTGTTTGCCTCATTCTAATCCACGTGTGTCCTGTGCTATGTCCTTGTCTGTGGGCCCTGCTGAACTGGCAGAAGGACAGTCCCTGACTGTCGTGAACCGACAGGGTGACATGGTCTGACCTTAGCTTGAGCTTGGCGAAGTGCACACTTCTGGCTTCTTGCTTTTTACTTTTAGTGCTGAGGACTGAACCCAGGGCCCTGTGCGTGCAAAGTACTTATTCTCCCACTGAACTGCCCCTTCCCTCTCCTTAGCTGTAGCAGCCAATGCCCTGCCTTGTCCTCAGTGTCTGGAAGAATAGTGTTCTCACGGAGCACACAGTGTTACAATGAAACATGAACTCCGCCGGTGAGCAGAAGTTACTGTGGACCAAGTCAGAGCACTCAAGTCACTTGGATAGCAAAGGCGTCTCAGAAGCACGTGTCCTCTTTTCCTCTTTACTGGCCTATGGTCCACAGATTCGTGTGAGGTTTTCCCAAGGGTTTTCAGAGTGACTTACCTGTGAGTCAAGCTGGTGACCCTGAAACTCCCAAGAAGAAAGAAGAGATGGATAAATTCTGGGTTTTGAGTTCTTAAAACCAAACCCTTAGGTTTTTCAAAACAGTATTTAGGGTGTGGTCAGTCACAGAATTCCCAGTGGCCAACTCTGGTGAATAGGCTAGCCATGAGCATTAGCATGAGATAGGAAAGCAAATTCCCACCAGCAAGTGTTGAGGCACTGTGTTCCTGTGAAGAGCCCTCACTGGATGGCCAAGTGCTGAGGGACCGAGAGCAGTCACATGGGTGATATGCTGCAGCTACAGGCAAGGATCCCAGACTTGTCTCAGAGGCCTGGAGCTCATCCTTGGTCTTAGGGCCCATGTTTTCCAGAAGTGAAGGAAGTGACTGGCCCCATCCCCCTCTTGCTCTATGGGGCCTGAGATCGCTCAGATCCCAGATCAGGTGTGACTGGCGAAGGTCGTGACATTCCTACCACTTCCTTCTGGGACTTTGAATGGAATTGGGATTTCATTCAGGGCACTTGGATAGTGTTCTAGTTTTCTTTCTGTTGCTGTGATAAAACACTCTGACCAAAAGTAACTTGGGTAAGGAAAGGTTTATTTGGCTTATACTTCCAGGTCATAGTCCATCATTGAGGGAAATCAGGACAGGAAGTCAAACAAGGACCTTGACATAGAAACCGTGGAGGAATGCTGCTTGCTGGCTCGCTCACTCCTGGGCTCATACTTAGTTGGCTTTCTTATACAGCCCGGGATCACCATTCCATGGAACGGTGCTGCTCACAGTGGGCTGCCCTTCCATCACTTACTAACCAGGACAGTCCCCATAGGCTGACAACCCCCAGTTGAGACTCCCTTCTCAGATGACTCTAGGCTGTATCTAGTTGACAAGGAAAGCCAATGAGGACAGTTAGCTTAGTGCTAGCCCCACTTGCTTCTCTTAGGAGTACCCATTGTCAAAGCCTCCAAGACCCGGTGTTCTTTCTCCGGAGGCTTGCATACCCCTGCAGAAGAAAGAGGATATGAAGGAGGGACAGGGGAAAAAAAAAAGGTAGCTCCCAAAGGTGGAGGTTGTGTAAAAACCATGTAGTAAACAGTGTAAAGATAGCTGGCTATCTGTTTGGGAAGAAATCACAGAAACCCCCTACGATTGCAGATGAAAAGGTGAATTCGAGCCATATGGTTGCTTTTTCTTTTTTTAAGCATGAAAAGTACTGAATATTTTCATAATCTTTTTTTTTTTTTTTTTTGGTTTTTCGAGACAGGGTTTCTCTGTGTAGCTTTGCGCCTTTCCTGGAACTCACTTGGTAGCCCAGGCTGGCCTCGAACTCACAGAGATCCGCCTGGCTCTGCCTCCCGAGTGCTGGGATTAAAGGCGTGCGCCACCACCGCCCGGCATTTTTCATAATCTTTAGATGGGAAGCCCATCTTCTGAGGCAGTGACAAATCCCGAAGAAAAGATTGGCAGATGTCAGTCACTTTTCCGTTGCTGTGATAAAATGGCCAAAGGCAACTTACGGAAGAGAGAATCTGTTAGGGTTTCAGTGTCCATAGTGGCAGGGGGGGCAGGAAGCTGGTGTATCACATCATCAAACTAGAGAGAGAACCGGAGTGGGCAAGGTTCGAGCTGGCAAAGCCAGCCAGCTGCCCCCCGTGATGCAGTTCCTCCAGCACGGCTACACCACTTTCCCAAACGGCACCTCAAACTGGGAGCTAAGTGTTCAAATACCACAACCTATGGGAGACATTTCTCGTTCAAACCACCACCACAGATAGGAATCTATAAAAATGTTAACCTTTCGTAGCATCAGAATACCTCATTAACAAAGCCCAGAGGTGTTTGGGGGGAGATATTTGCAACATAGTTAGTAGGGAAGTGATTTCTTTCTTATTTTTCAAAATAACAAGGAAAAAAACAAAAATCGTACAAATGGGTGGGGCTAGACAGAAAATTCACAGGAGAAGTGTAAGTGGCAAATAAGCATGGTCAGCCTCCCTTGAATTCAGAGCATTGAAAGCTAAAAGTGAGGTTTTAGTCTTTGAGCTGACAAAGATCAAAAGACTTGATACATTGTTGGCTCAGATGAAGAATCATGAATATGCCATGAATACTGCAAGTATGAAAGACAGGAAGGGAGACTGTCAGACTTTAAATATAACCTGACAGCCCCCCGGCCAGGAGTCTGTTCCAAGAGACTGTAATCTACTCAGCTAAAGGTTTGTTTGACTTTCTAAGAGTGGATATGGATTGTCATGGTCTCAGCATTATCGTAGACCCTCCCCATTCTGG